TTCAGGGACAGCATACAAAACAGGCCAATTATGGAGTGATCCATCCATCTTCCACTCCCTGCTTCTGGTGGTCAGAGGTTTAGAGTCACCCCAAACAGGGCTACATCCTTAACCATCTTGGCTAATTCTATCCTCCATGAACTTATCCAGTTCTTTTTCGAAGCCAGGTATACTTTTGGCCCTCATAAGGCAATGAGTTCCACAGTTTAGTTATGCATTGTGTGAAAAACACATCTCTCAAACTGCTTTGCACCATTTCAGAGATGCAAAACTGCGGTAAACCCACTATAACTGGCTGGTTAAACTGGGGCTTTGACTGCTTTGCATTACCAGAGTAGCAAAAAGAAGCCAGAATTCATCAGTGAATCTGGCCTAGAAACTTACTTTTTTTAAAAATGAAACCTTAAAATTTGCAGAATATTGGAGAATGTGGAAAAAACTGCTGAAAGACTCCAAAATTGTGGACTCCAAGTCTCTCTCTCTCTCTCCTCCCCCTCCCCGCCCACCCACACACCAGCAGTGGTCTCACATCCTCGATGTTAAGGCACTTTTTTTTCTTTCAGGAGACAAGATAAAGAAGGCTGAGGTGTGGTGTTAATGCCTGTTTTGCTTCAGTCTTCACATTGTGACTAGACAAGGGAGAAAGAACAACAAGAGGACAGGAACGCAAGCCAAAACAGGGAAAGAACAGGTTAAAGAATACTCAGATGAGTTAGATGTATTCAAGTCAGCGGGGCCTGATGACATATACCCTAGGATACTTAAGGAACTAGCTGAAGCAATCTTGAAACCATTAGCGATGATTTTTGAGAATTCATGGAGGACTTGTGAGTCCCAGAGGACTGAAGAAGGGCAAACATAGTACCTGTCTTTAAAAAGGGGAACAAAGAGGACCTGGGGAATTATGAACCAGTCTGCCTAACTTCGATACCTGAAATGATACTGGAACAAATTATTAAACAATCAATCTGTAACCACCTAGAGGATAACAGGATAATATGTAATAGCCAACATGAATTTGTCATGAAGAAATCATGCCAAAGCAACCTAATTTCCTTCTTTGACAGTGTTATTGGTCTAGTGGATGGGGGGAAGTTGTAGACATGATATATCTTGATTTTAGTAAGGCTTTTGACACAGTTCCACATAACAGTCTCATAAGCAAACTAGTGGTTGAAAGACTGAACTCAAACAGTAGTTGTCAATGGTTCCCTGTCAAACTTGGAAGATGTATCTAGTGGGATCCTGCAGAGGTCAGTCCTGGCTCCGGTACTATTTGATATTTTCATTAATGACTTGGATAATGGAGTGTAGAGTATGCTTATAAAAGATGGGAAGGGTTGCTAGCACTGTAGAGGACAGAATTATAATTCAAAATCACCTTGACAAATTAGAGAATTGATTGGACTTCAACAAGATGAAATTCAATAAAGACAAATGCAAAGTACTACACTTAGACAGTAAACATCAAAAGCACAACTACACTATGGGAAATAACTGGTTAGGCAGCAGTACAGCTGAAAAGGAGCTGTGGCGGGGAAGGGTGTTATATCAGATCACACACAGTCAACAATGTGATTCAGTTCAGAAAAAGGCTAATATCATTCTGGGGTGTATTAACAAGAGTGTCATATGTAAGACACAGGAGGTTACAGTCCCACTCTACTCAGATCAGTGAGGCCTGTGTCCATTTCTGAGCACCACACTTTGGGAAGGATGTGGACAAACTGGAGAGAGTGCAGAAGAGAGTGACAAAAATGATAAAAGGTTTAGAAAACCTGACCTGTGAGGGAAGGTTAAAAATGGGTATGTTTAGTTTTGAGAAAGGAAGACTAAGGGGGAGCTGATAGTCTTTGCATATATTAAAGGCTGTTATAAAGAGGACAGTGATCAGTTGTTCTCCACATGCTCTCTCTATGCTGAGCCCCGCTGCCTACTTTTTGAAATGCCAGTCTGATATGGATTTGGGGATATTACAGATAACACCCCTGTTATGCAGGATGGGAGCATGCTGACAATTCAAGAAGGTGGCAGCTGGCAGAAGGGACTGAGCCAAAGAAACTATTGGCTTGCACTGGCTCACTGTCCCTGAAGCATGATCTTGGACCTACATTTGCAAGGAGATAGGCCCCTCTGTATTTGCAGAGCCACACTCTCTTGGCCTCTGGGTTCCCTGTCAGCACAAGTTTGGATCAGCATTTAATCCACCCTTGTTCATAGACAGCAGCTCTGCCAAGTGATCCCTAAGGGAGCCACCATCTGGCTAAGTCAGTAGGAGCAGCCCTGAGCATTTCTCGGCTGGCAGTTTCTCTTCACATATTTTACAATCCCTCACGCTACAGGAAAAAAAAATGTAAGAACAGCTTTGCCTAATTAATGGTTTGGAAAAAGGAATTTGTATTATTCTCAAGAGGTTCTTTCATAATCCAGCAAGGATGTTGTAATTAAATAAAGTTACCATCACTCATTTAAAGAATAAATGTAATTGGCAAAAAAAGTCCATTTCAATTTAAGAGGAAGAGAGAAGGAATTGACTAAGGCACAAATTAAACGCTGAGGGCTTGATTTGAATTACACCGATGCTGGTGTAAATCAGGAGTAACGCCACAAAATCATGGACGTTATAGCCTTATAAAAACAAGTGTAAGGAAGAAGGAGAGTTGGGCCCCAAATGCTGGACATGAGGAAAGAGATAAATGTGAACATTAAGCTCTGTACTGACTGCACTGAATTATGCTGTTGGGTGGAAAAATCTGAGTGGACTATTCAGATGGAGAGCAGTCACATATTATAATTTAGGCTGGCAAAGGGCACCACTCAGCTGTTAAAATGACAAAAGTTTCAAGTGCAGTTTATGATCTGACTAAATATACCTTTCAGTAACAATAAAAATAAAAGAAGAAAATCCTGTCTATCCAGGGATGGCTTCTTTTCAACAGCATGCCCATAAAAATAAAAGGGGTGTTTAGATTTTATAGTAGTGAATAAATCCTATCCTTCCACAGCCTGGTTCTTGGACTGGTATGTATGTGTATAAAACTGTCATTTCAGATTCCTCAGTTAGTTGTTGGGGTCAAAATCATGACGTCCTTACTCAGACAAAACTTCCACTGAAGTCACTGTAAATTTTGTCTCAATAAGCAAGGATTAAAATCCAAGTATAAAGATTTCAAGTTTGCCCAGGCTCCTACATCAAAAGGTTTAGAAGATACATATATAGAAGAAGACACAGCTAAAGGCTTTCGAAGAACAACCTTTGTGTAACTCATTGATAATGGATGTCTAAATGTACTTGGAAAGGAAAAGATAGCAAAGATTAAAATAAAACCATTATAAAATGATGAGTAATAATATCTTACATATATAGTCAGTTGCATCCTGGAAGAACCCAAAATGCTTTATAAGCGTGCGTGCGCGCACACACACACACACAAACACACACACATACACACAGAGTTCATTTAATCCACTGCTGAAATACAATTACCTCTTGGGTGGAATGTGGCAGATATTTAGCATGCAGCACAGCACAACAGGCTGCAACAGGCAATGGAGAACAATACTACAATTTGTAGCGATAGGGTATGTTTACATTGCAAAGAAAAACCTGTGGCAGCAAGTCTCAAAGCCCAGTTCACTTGACTCGGGGCTGCAGGGCTAAAAATAGCAGTGTAGACATTCCAGGTCAGGAACCGAGCCTGGTTTTGGACCCTGGGCTCCAACCCGAGTGGGAATATCTACACTCCTGTGTATAATGCTGCAGCCCGAGCCCCATGAGAGTCAATTGACCCAGGCTCTGAGACTAGGTGTTGCGGATTTTTCTTTGCAGTGTAGACTTATCCAAAGGTAATTACCATCAGTTGGCTGTTTGGCGACATATGAAATAAAATGATTGTCTTAGTTCAGTTCCCTTGGGGGCAGGTCTCCACATCACACATAAAAATGTGCTACCACAACCAGCAAACTAAAAACCCAGTTATCTCTCTGGTACCCAGGTGCAACTCCCATTGACTTCAATGGGAGTTGGATCAACTCCTTAGAAGAGAATCCAAACATTGCATAACCAGTGGAGCCTGAACTTCTCTCGCTCCTCACTAGAATGGACCTTCAGGTCAGCACTGCCAGAGAGAGACGGTTATATTTACTCTATAGTTAAATAGAGGAGATTTATCTCCAGAGCTGTCAGTCTCAGGCCTTTCACCAGCAGTTAATTCACTTTTTAAATTGTATTAAATCCGCCCCCCTGGATATAGCTTGCAGGGATTTATGGCAATTTTACAGAATAAAAGTACTGTGCTTCCCCAGACTGTGGAACAAATTACAGCAGGCAATGATATGGAAACAGGACAGGCTGATGAGAACTGTGAGCATCATTGCATTCTCACCTATGTGCGTGTAAATTGGGGCTCTCCAGTGGAGATACCCTGTATGTTTATATAACATAGCACATGTTAATATTGTATTATCTCTTTGTAAGGAGATGTACATGCTGTTCAATAAAAAAATCAGTAAAGAGAATATATAAATTATGACAGGATCCAATGGTTGGAAGTTGAAGCTAGACAAATTCAGATTGGCAATAAGGTGTAAATTGCTAACAGTGAGCATAATTAACCATTGGAACAATTTACCGAGGTCGTGGTGGATTCTCCATCACTGACAGTTTTTACATCAAGATCAGACGTCTTTCTAAAATATACGCTCTTGGAATTACTTTGGGGAAGTTCTACAATCTGTGTTATACAGGAAGTCAGATTAGTTTATCTCAATGGTGCCTTGTGGCCTTGGAATCTATGAACCTCTGTGAATTTATAGAGGACTTCAGTGTGGAACTGCAGCTTTCATGGTGACCAATCACTTCAAATGGCTTTTATTTTAAAAAAATTCTCTGAGTTGAAATATTGCTAAATATATGAAGGAAAGAAGAGAAACTATGAAGGAAAATCACAGGGGCAAGTCAAAATGATCTACAGTTCTCTCTGTATAATGCTGTTACGTACCCTTTTCTGTTTTTGAACCAGTTGTTCCAGCTCTTGTTCTTTTGAAACGAGTTTATGTTCCAGAGCTTGACTGCGGGACTGAAACCTCTCTGTATCCTGCGAAATCAAAAGATATGAACATTAAGCAAAAAGGCATTAAGCATCATCAGGGCAGCATGGCCCAGAGGACAGGGCATAGGACTAAAAGTCAGATCTGGAAGTAAGGGGTAGATTTTTAACAGTGAGGGTTACTAGCCAATGGAACAGGTTACCTAAGGTTGTGGTGAATTCTCCATCACTTAGGAGGCCAGATCCTCAGCTGGTGTAAATTGGCATAGCTCCATTGACCTCAATGACTGAAGTTAGTGCATCTATGCTGAGTAACACCAGCTCAGTTTCTGACCCACATAGGAGGTAAAATTTTCAAAAGTGCTTAAGGGACTTATGTTAAGCCCCATTTTCAAAAGTGATTTAGGCACATCTGAGCCTATGTCTGTAAGACTTAGGAGTCTATGTCACTTTTGAAAATGGGTCTAAAACTGCTAAATTGCTTCCACGTGTTTGAAAATTTTACCCTGGGTCTTTCTAAAGGATTTCCTGTAGTATTACCGGGCTCAATACAGGTATTACTGGGTGAAATTCTATGGCCTTTCTTATGCAGGTTATTATAAATGGTGCCTTCTAGCTTTAAAATCCATCACTTGCAATTGTGTGAATCAGGAGCAGCTCCGCCGAAGTTAACAGAAGTGGTGTAAAATTGATATAAGTGAGAAGAGAGTTAGGCCCTGGGTATTTACAGACCTCTCAGTTACTGCAGTGCCCCACAAGCAGGTGATTACCCAAATATTCTATAACAGCATTTGAATAAATGAGAACCCCTCCTTCTCTCATTAGGAATTACTCCTTGGGACAGATTCTCAGATGGTGTAAACAGTGGCGGATTAGGGGTTTGTGGTGCCCTGGGCCAAAGGAATTGGGGACCCCTCCCCACCCCTTCCACCTGCAATCCTCCCCCCGCCAGTGGCAGATTAATCACTGGGCCAACAGGCCAGTGCCCAGGGGCCCCGGCCATTTGGGGGTCCCTGAAAATGTGTGCCCCCGCGCCCAGATCTGCTTGACCCGGTGCTCCTGCTGGGGAGCAGTGGAAGCCCCCACATCCTGACCCCACTCTCTGCAGTAGTGCTGGGGAGGGATGCGGATGGTGTGGGGGGGCCTACAAACTTGCTTTGGCCCAGGGCCCAACAAACCCCATATCCACCACAGCCCACTGCCCCCAGCACTCCTGCGGGGAGTGGGGTTGGGGCATGGGGACTTCCCCTGTTCTCCGGCAGGAGCGCTGGGTGGGTGGGGGGAGTGGGGCAAGCCCCTGTGCCCTGCTCCTGCTCCTTGGCAAGAGCACTGGATGAGTGGGCGGAGCAGGTCTGGGTGTGGGGGCGCCCATTTTTCAGGGGCCCCCCAATTGGCCAGGGCCCCTGGGCACAAGCCCCATTGGCCCAGTGGCTAATCCACCACTGGGTGTAAATTATCATTGCTCCAGTGGCTGAGAATCTGCTCCCTTAGTTCTTCAGGAAAATTCCTTTAGAGAACGATCAAACCTCCCTCAAGGGGGTGGGTGCAGGAACACTGAAATGTTCCCCCACTCCTCCTCTCACTCCTAACAATATATTTAATGAGGCAATTTAATGTACATTAACTGGCTTCTTATTCAGAAAAATACCTATCCAAATGAATAAGACATAATAACCATTCCTCTAACACAGTCCTTAATCGGCAGGGTACCAAATATCTTAAATAGCAACAGTTTGTACTTATTTGCCTTCTTAAAAATTTCTTTTTATGTATTTTTCAAATGCTATGCTTTTCCAGAAACAGGCAATCATTTTCTTTTTCAGATGGCATCCGTATGTCTCTGCATTCTGTGGGGCCTTTGTGAACTTTTGCTTTAGGGAAAGAACTTAAAACTCCAAACACCCAAAAATAAATTAGTCACACGGAGAAATAATACTTCTTGAGTGTCTGTGGCTGCTGACTAACTTTTAAAGAGCTAAACTGAGGTTTACCTGGAAACTTACAAAGGCCTGTGATAGGGATTAATAATGGAATTGATTATGCTACCTTAATGTTAAAGTTAATTACCAGTTATTGGTAATACAGTTTCTTATAGGTTAGAATCTTTAGATCTTATTTTTGGATTTACAGTATAATTTAAATAGTGGCACTCTTTTTATTAGAGCATACAAACCAATCTCTTGCATATCAACCTTCATTATAAAAGATAATGCATTTTACAACTTTTCAAATGCTACACAACTCTATGCAAGGCAATCATTTGACCCAATATTGAAATTCACCCAGCTCTGGAGTGGAACCCAGCTGCTGTGTAAGGGTCTAATCCAATGGCCAGTGAAGTCAATGGAAAGATTCCCACTGTCGATAGTGGGACCTAACTCTGCAAAATACACACTAAACAACAGTTTAGGGCAGGAAGTAAAGAAAAATTTATCCAGTTGAAACTACAGGGCAACTTTTTAGACAACGTGTGACATACATGGCATTGTTCTGTATTTCTGAATACTGTGTTCGCCAGATTATTGGGATGTTTACTGTATTGGTTTAATCCAATAGGGATCTGTATGGAAAAAACAAGCAGGAAGTGAAACAATGGCTCAAGATAAAATACTAGGGGGTTAGGAGACAATGCTGGATAGAAAAAGCCTGGACACCAGAACATCAGAGGGACTATGTCAGTTTAAAAAGAGACTCTCTCTGCAAGGGTGGGTGTGGGGTGCTGTTTAATAGTTGTTGAGGAGCTCTTCAGGGAGGAATCAGCCTGTGACAGCAGCACCCATTGGGGTGTCTGAAGAAACTAGGCCTGCGTAGATTATCATCAGGGATGGTAAGCCTCTAGGTACGATAGATGTGCTTGTAGACTTTTTGTTGCTTTAAAATCCTTTTTTTCTTATGGGGTAAATACTTTGGTTTGAGACGTCTGTCTGGTCACTCTATTCACCTCTGGCCACAGATTCCCAAACGGAAGGTCGGCAGGTAATGAACCCAGTTGGACTTGCTGGGTGAGCACAGTAGATACACAGGGCACTGTAGGGCTCAGTCTAAGAGTGCGAGAATGGTAGAATTCCACCCCAGGATAGGTAAAGTCATGAGACCTGTCACCTGAAGAGGTTCACTCAGAGAGACCAGGAAGGGGACAGAGGTACTCTGAAAGAATGATACCATAGAAATTGTTCAAGAAGGAATTTGGCCAGGACATTGAGTCTAGTGCTGCTGTGAAAAGTTCCAGGGGATCTTTTATGATCACAAATGGTCAGGACCTTGATTTTTAAACCCATGTAAAGGATGGCACCTCCACTAGCAAAGTGGGCTATTGGTTCGGTAGTTATTCCGAAGGCAGGGCCAGCTCCAGGCACCAGCGCAGGAAGCAGGTGCTTGGGGCGGCCAATGGAAAAGGGCAGCATGTCCGGGTCTTCGGCGGGAATTCGGTGGCGGGTCCTTCAGTCCCTCTCGGAGGGAAGGACCGGCCGCTGAATTGCCGCCAAAGAATGAAGCGGCGTGGTAGAGCCATTCACGGCTTTATCTTTTTTTTTCTTTGCCGCAAAAAAGCTGGAGCCAGCCCTGTCCGAAGGAATAATACCACCTCGTGAATATCACCAGCACCACTTAGTGCAGTTTGTGGGTGCGCCTTGGTCTCCCATCCAAGTAGTCAGCCAGCCTGAGCTTGCAATCTGATGAGATCACTGGGTGAGGTAGTAAGTGAAATGATGCTTTATCTTATATTTCTCTGTAGACTGTCATTTTGGGGGCTTTCTTTTGCTCTCACACTGGCTGAAATCAATGGAGTTACCCTGGTGTAAAAACTAGTGGGAGAGCAGAATTAGGCCTTCCATATCTATAATAAAGAGACACAGTCACCTTCAAGAGAAACTGTTCTTTCTCATTTTTGATTTGCTGCTCCATTTCCTCATAGAGATGTTGAATTTCTTCATCATAAGCAGCAATTTTCCTAATAAGAGATAAAAGCACACTGAGTGGGTCTTTGTAGCATTATTTCAAGTAAAAGGCTCACAATCTACCAGCTTAGCATCACATTTCTGTTTTAGCACAAGACTCAAGGGAATGATCCCAAGAGCAGAAAAAAGTATTTACATACAGCAGGGTCACAGATAAAAACCAAATTGTTTCCCATGGGGGAGAGCAGTAACTGCACTAAAGCTAATAAGGCTGTTTATTTGATATTTTAAAATTGCCGGCACAATATATGATGGCTGTTTATCAGGCACTCTTAATAATTGTGGAACCTACAGCCTAAGGAAGGGAGAGCCTAGACGTGACACTAATAACAATGAAAATACTGGAAACAATGTTTCTAAATTAGAGCTGGTCAAGTAGGAATGAAAGTGATTTGTGAGTATTTTCAAGTTGCAGCTTTGCTCTACTGTTATTTATAAGACTGCATTATTCATGAGTATTCCTACAACTAATGATTTATTTCTGAAACCACTAATGCATCCCAAAAGTTTCAGCACAAAGAACGACTTGTCTGAAAGTTCATATGCTACTATGTCTTTATGTGTCTTTCTCTATTTTGACACTTGTTACACACTTGTTTAAAGTTTTAGTCACCCCGTCAGGGAGCAGATTAAGAGCACTTTGCACAAGTGCACACGACTACACAAAGAACAAGGGATTGAATAATCAAGCCCACTTTTTTTGGATTAAGATTGGAACAGATGGATTAGGAATCTAACAGGATTGAGACGGAAACAGCTGCAGTTTGGCACCTGGCCTGGACAGAGCTTGCATGGAGAATTAGAGAGACTTTGCTAGCTTTTGGCTGGGTGGGGCAGGAATAAAAATATATTTTTCTGAAATGATCAGCAATTGAAAAGTCATTTCTCAGCTCATTCAGAGGATTTTTAGTAGAGCCTCTGTAACATCACTGAACATTCTCCCCACATGGTCTGGCGAGGATGGAGATGGGTTGTTACTCAGGCAATTTGCAGAGTGTAACTGCCCAGAAATCCTCAAAAGTCTTCAAATCAGGAACAGGAGGAAAAATAGGGGGTACAGAAAAAAATCACTGTATGATTTGGGAATTCCCCTGTGAGTTTTCCTATATTCTGCAAATTCTCCTCTGAGTTACACCATAGCAAATCAGGAATAACGCCAGTCAAGCTAACTGATATAAGAATCAGGTCATTTTTCCCCCTCCAAATGTTCACAATGCCTGTCATTTATAACTTGCATTTTTCATCCCCAACTAGAAAGGTCAGTGTGTAGTCTCAGAATTGACTCTAGTGATAAATGAATGTTGCACTATATTGACACAAGAAAACAAAATTCCTTAGGGCTGATGGTCCACTGCCTTGCACTTTGCATGCTCATTTACATCTATGCAAAATGAGTTCAAGCTGTGTGTTAAATGCAGACCCCCTATGGAGGCTGCTAATCCCCATCCTCCCTCATGAAGCAAGTAAATAGTGAAGGAAAATAAAGGGACATTTTATGCTTCCTTACTTCCATTCATAGGTGCACAGTCAGATTTACATTCTGGCCCAAAATATCTAAGGCACTCTATTCTAAGAAAACTATAATCCATAGAGCAAATTCAGAGCTTCCTTGAGTGGGTGGAATGCCATGAAACCATACAAGACTTGATAATCATTTAACAAGATAGCACATGAATGCCAAGATCACATCTGTAAACCCTGTATTTGCCCAATAATATGTCACATTGAGCAGGGTTAGGCTGGTTATATAATGAAAGACCCTATTACGGTGTATATAAAGAACACAGTAGTCAATGTTGCCATGAGAACCATAACTGAATTTTCTTGCTTGTGCAGGTTAAAAGGAACAACTTGAATATTGAATTCATACACTATTGTTTTTAGCACTGGATTTTCTCTAACTTGTGTTTGCAAGGACAGAACAGGGCTATAATCTGAACGTGACATTTGAGAGACATTTTAATATCATGTTTGTTTGTTGTCTGCTTTAGCATATTACCAGGGGATGACATCTGCAGGATAAACACACCCAAAGTTTTAATTAGTGGTTTAGTCTCCATTCTTAAAGCTGGTCAAATAATAATAATAAGATAATTTATCATCATTATTTAAAGCATAACTTAATCATGAATAATTTATCCCACAAGTAGTGGGGAAAATTCATCAGATAAATTATTTGCTAGATATTTGTCAACCATCTGCAGAGGTGGTAGAGTAATGGAAAGAAATTATAACAAAGTAATTCATTTAGTAAAAAAAAAAAAAAGCCAAAATTCATCATCAAACAAACAACAGCAACAAAAACCCCTATTCACCCTGAATAATTTGACCAGCTTTAACTGTTATATAATTCCAACGCTAGTGCTGTAGTGCTGCTTTGTCTTTACAAGAATCCTGTGGATAAATGTTTTTGTTTTGTTTTTTGTTATAACACATTTACCAAACTAGACCATAACTCTGGTTAGGATAGCTAAAGTGACATGTTCCGGTTATTATGTTCTGGTAGTGAGGTTAATGCATACATGGGATGGTTTCATTTCTGCCTATTATTTTAGATGCAGTATTTGAATTTTGTCCATCATTGTTCACACAGACATTTGGTCAGCACAGCCGTTACTTCAAATGAAAATTGGTTAGTGTGTTGGGTGCTTTATGGGCTGATCCTACAAGGTCCCAAATGTCCTCAACCTTCTTTGAAGTCAGGCTCTGCTACTGACTTGCTTTTGTAACCTTGGGAAAAATCACTTCACTTTTCTGGGTGGCATTCATAAGATGACTATGTCCAATATTTAGGAACCATTGCCATTCACAAAACCCCCACTCATCTGCCACCTAACCCGGTAGGTGCCTATGTTTCCAAATGTAAAGTCCCCCAAGGTGCTTAAATTTCAGCAGTTGGGCACGTGCACAGTCCTAAGTAGAGGGGTGTGCCTATATCCTAACACCACCTCCCCAGATATGGGCTATAGGGTGTCCTGGGGAAGGTCTGTCTTAATGTCTCCTGTTGAAGTGGTGCCGCTGTGTATAAATAATTAGATATTCTTTGGGCCAGAGAAAGAGTGAGAATGACTCTCTAGCTCAGTGAGTAGGGCACAATCATAGGACGTGAGAGATCCAAGATTGGCGATCTCAGTTCACATCAGGCACATGGTGGAACTGAACCTGGGTCTCCCACACTGAACCCTAACCACTGGGTTAAAGATTATAATGTGGGGAAGGAGGGACTACATCTTCTTCTGCCTCCTCCTCAGTTTTTCCTTGAACAACTGCTGACTTGACTCAGGGCTTGTCTACACTACCGCGCGGGGTCAATCTAAGATATGCAACTTCAGCTACATGAATAGCGTAGCTGAAATCGAAGTACTTAGATCTACTTACCACGGTGTCTTCACTGCAGTAAGTCGACAGCTGACGCTCTCCCGTCAACTCCGCTTGCATTTCTCATTCTGGTGGAGGATCGGAGTCGACGGGAGAGCGCTCAGCAATATACTAGACGCAACAAATTGACCCCTGCTGGATTGATTGCTGTCTGCTGATCTGGTGGGTAGTGTAGACACTTAACTCCAGGAGAGGGTTCACAGCTGTGAATCCCAAGTGAAGGGAGGTGCCTTAGACACTTAACTCCAGGAGAGGGTTCACAGCTGTGAATCCCAAGTGAAGGGAGGTGCCTCCTTCTGGCCTGAAGTTAGATGCAAGGGATCTGGAACAATTTGTATAGTGGGGGTGCTGAGAGCCATTGAACTAAACTGTAAACCCTGTATATGATGGAAACCACTTCAAGCTAGGGGGTACAGCAGCACCCCCAGCATTCCAAGTTCCAGCACCTATGATTAGATGCCTAACTCCTTTTGTGGGGGTGAGATCTAGGCCACTTCCCTGTACTCAGCATTTCTGTTGGCTAGCATAGGCATTAGGCAGCTCAGCATGCTAGCTTTTCTGAACCTCTCTTTTAGTTGCCTAATGCTCTGGGAATCTAACTCGGGATTGTGAATTCCACCAAGCAGCAGAGCACTAAATGTCCTCTGTGAATCCTACCCTGAATGCTCATGTTTCTTCTCCCACCCTTTGTTTGTCTGTCTTGTCCGTCTAGACTGTAAGCTCTTTGGAACAGAGAATGGTCCAAACATTATGTGTTTGTACACATTCACAAGCACAATGGAGGGCCCAGTCTCAGCTGAGGTGCTACTGCCCAATCTAGGTGCTACTGTAATACAAATAAATAATATCAAATGTTGATATTTGCGTTAAAGCACAGTACCAACTTTGTGCACAACACTATGGAGGCTGTGAAAGCCTGGACTCCAGTCAAGTTTATAAACCCTGAAGGAACTCCTGAAGAGATTATAAAAGGCACCAAAAATTCCATAGAGATTATGAACTCTTCAAGGACCTATCAATAACACAAATATATTATGTCTTTTCAAGCCAGCAAGATATAAGTACATCAATAGCTAAAGGGATAACCCCCATCAAAACATCATTGTGTTGTCCAAAACATCACTGTATGATTTAAAAATAATTATTACCACCAAGTATTTGGAAGCCAGAAATTCTAAATTAAGATAACATTTAAAAGAAAAAATGTTGGAAAGTGAGTTAACAAACACTGGGAATATAGAACATCAAATACTGTGTAAACGCCAAAAGCATGAGTTTTGGATTTGACCCGCTTGTTTCATGTGTTTGGCTATTACTCCAGGTGGCTATCCCAGGTGTGTGGCTACCAGCCCAGCTATCTCTTTGAGTGGAGATGACATACATATAATATTTGGTTTAATATATTCTTGTGGGGTAAATCTTTTCTAGTATTGTATAAATCCAAAAAAAAAAATTACATAAAGAGCAGGAGGTCAGACTAGATGATTATAATGGTCTCCTCTGGTCTTGAAATCTATGAAATGCACATCACACATTCATTAGGGAGAAACTCCAATGGAAAAAACATTTTGGGTTACAATGCTACCAGTCTGATTTATTTTCTTTACGGTAATTCAGTTTTCCTAAGCCATCTGTCTTCAGACTGTGATGGTATTTAGTTTGGAAAGACTAACAGGACTTGCTCTGTGTGTGCTCATTTGAAAATTCAGTCCAAAACAGTTTATTTTCTGTTCAGAAACCTTTCATGGAGTTGTCTGATTAAGTGATAACCCTAATAGAATGTGAGTTTGTGCTCCAGTAATGATCTAGAAGTGATGACAGAAAAATATTGAGGGAAACCATTATCATTTATCTAAAACCAACAGCTAGCAAATACAGAAAGGTTCAATTTAGATGAAACTATAGACATTTAGTGGAGCAAAATCTCTCATTCTGGTTATATTTGGCAAGATTGGTTGAAAAACAGACATGAAAAATCTGTGTTTCTATGGTTCATTTCTTCAGAGGACATCAATACTAAGATCTGGAACTATGTCAATATTAGCCAATCAAATCACATATGCAAATGTCTTCTTCTTAATTTGCTCCTCAGAGACCAGTAATAGTTTTTTCCCCCAAGGACCACAAACTTTGTTTACTGTTTAAAGGGTTAGAGTATTTTTAAAAAAAAACATGCTATGTGTAAGAAATTCATGATTAGATCAGATCTACTTTTGCGCCAATAAATACTAACATGCATCTAAACACAAGCCATATGGATGAATGCAGTTCTCAGTGAAATCAATGAGGTTGCACAGGTGCACAAGTAGAAGTTGTCCCAATATGGGCTCATTACACTAAGTGAACATAAAAATCACATAGAAAAACCTACATTCAAAAAGATAAGTTGGAAAAGCAGGGAATACTAAAGTTAACATTGCCTGTGGATCCTTAACTCTGCCCCGTGGTACATATACAGAATGATACAGTCTTTAACTACATGACCACACAGTATTTTTTCTTCAGGATCCCTGCCCCATTCAGTGCATAGATGGGATGGTGCTTAGCAATGAGGCGGGTGTTCAAAAGTTAAATTTATCCTTATTATCCAGAGTGTGGCCTCATGCCTCATATTCTGCATACCATCCAGCACCAGCACTGAATGAGGCAGGTCTCCCAGATTCAAAAGTGTATGATTGTGTAATTAAAAAGACTGTATCATAATGTATTCACACACGGAGCAGGGGGAAGGATCTGTTAGGGTAAAGGTTTTATGGGATACTTGGACATTTCCTGAACTTGAGTGCTTCATTTTGCAACCTTAAGGTTATTTTAATATATATATTTTTATGGAATTTCCTGGGAGTTGGTTTTTAAGAGAAAATAAAACAAAGAATTTCCATCATGTGCAACTATTTGCTAGACAGCAGCAGAATGATCTGTTCTGTCCTATACACTATATACGTTTTTAGATATCACATGAAATGAAGCAGGGCTCTTTTGGAACTTGGTGTCCTTCTTTACACACCATCACAGATCATAACCTGCAGCAGGGACTTGGCCAGAATTGTTCTAAGGAGGGGGCCCACAGCTCTCCCTCCCCTGCCTCCATCAAGCCCCACACTCTCCCGCTGCACCCAGCCCCAGACACTCCCCTACTGCTACCCACACCCAGCCCCACACTCTTCCCCCCACATTGCCCTGCACCCAGCTTCAAACTCTGCTCCCTCTACCTAGCTCTGAGCTCTTCCCATCCCACACCCAGCCCCAAGCTCTTTCCCAGAGAGGTGGTCAGTCTGAAGAACATCATCCCCACCAGGGGTCAGGCAGTTCTGGGAGCCCCAGACCCCCTTCCATCCTCCTGTGTCTCCACTTCCCCTGGAAGCACCAAAAGCTGGATCCAATCCTCTCACCCTCCTGCAGACTAGGGGGTTCCTGGTGCCCCTGCTCTGCTTCTCCTGGAGTGTCTGGCACCATAGCTGCTGGAAGGACTGCAAAGATGGGGGTCCAAGCAGGTGCATGGGGTCACTGTGCCACTCATATTCGGACCTGTTGCCCCTCTGTCCTGAGGGGGTGTGTGTGACTGGGCCAAATTTCAGTGTGTAGTATTGTGACCCAGCACATGGGGTTGTAACACCACTCAAATTTGATATGGCCTCCCCTCCATCCTGATGTGGGGGTGGCTGAGCCAAGTTTGAGTAAGTGGCGTTGTGACCTGGTGCATGAAGTTGCAGTGCCATTCAAATTTGGCCTGGCCTCTCCTCTATCATGACAGAGGGGCATCTGGGCCAAATTTCCAGTTCCCATCAGTGGCCAAAGGGCAGGGAGTGGGCTGGGGCCCCCTGCCTGCATACCTTGTAGTGCCCTTGATCCAGATACACCTTCATAAAAAAAATGATATTCCACTCAATTTACTTACATATTCACAATTCCAAAACACTGTTAAAAGATTACCTACTCAATGGAAATGTGACTGACTGAGTGAGGGAGCCCAGCTGAGAAGGAAGGAGCTGGGCTAGGACTATAAAGACAGGAAATTGGAAGCAGAAGGGGGCTGCTGGGAAAGGTTGCAGTCACTCTTTGGAAGAAGGAAGGAGTGTTTGGAGGCTACAGGGACAGGCAGCTTGTAGTTGCTCCGTGGGAGAGGGGAGTAAGGAGGCTGGCAAACCCAGAGAGGATGGAGTGCCAGATGGTAGGAGAGGGCTCAAGGAAAGCCAGTAAGGTCCAGGAGGGAACCTTTACTGCTGGCTTGAGAGGGTCCCTGATCCAGAACGTGAAGTGGATGGTGGGCCTGGGTTCCCCTGCCAGCTACTGAGGGAATGGCACCATAGGGCAGTGAAGGAGAAGACCGCCTGAGACTGCTGGTGTGGAGAGACACTTTGAAAGACTTTAAGTATCAGAGGGGTAGCCGTGTTAGTCTGGATCTGTAAAAAGCAACAGAGAGTCCTGTGGCACCTTTAAGACTAACAGATGTATTGGAGCATAAGCTTTCATGGGTGAATGCCCACTTCGTCGGATGCATGTAATGGAAATTTCCAGCGGCAGGTATAAATATGCTGGCAAGAATCAGTCTGGAGATAACGAGGTTAGTTCAATCAGGGAGGGTGAGGTGCTCTGCTAGCAGTTGAGATGTGAACACCAAGGGAGGAGAAACTGCTTCTGTAGTTGGCTAGCCATTCACAGCCTTTGTTTAATCCTGAGCTGATGGTGTCAAATTTGCAAATGAACTCAAACTCAGCAGTTTCTCTTTGGAGTCTGGTCCTGAAGATTTTTTGCTGTAAGATGGCTACCTTTACATCTGCTATTGTGTGGCCAGGGAGGTTGAAATGTTCTCCTACAGGTTTTTGTATATTGCCATTCCTGATATCAGGAATATACAAAAACCTGTAGGAGAACACTTCAACCTCCCTGGCCACACAATAGCAGATGTAAAGATAGCCATATTACAGCAAAAAAACTTCAGGACCAGACTCCAAAGAGAAACTGCTGAGCTTGAGTTCATTTGCAAATTTGACACCATCAGCTCAGGATTAAACAAAGGCTGTGAATGGCTAGCCAACTACAGAAGCAGTTTCTCCTCCCTTGGTGTTCACACTTCAACTGCTATCAGAGAGCCTCACCTTCCCTGATTGAACTAACCTCGTTATCTCCAGACTGATTCTTGCCAGCATATTTATACCTGCCCCTGGAAATTTCCATTACATGCATCCGATGAAGTGGGCATTCACCCACGAAAGCTTATGCTCCAATACATCTGTTAGTTTTAAAGGTGCCACAGGACTCTCTGTTGCTTTTGAAAGACTTTGGTGTCCTGGAAGGGGGAAGCACATAGAATGACCTAGCTGGAGGGCTAAGTCATGAAGAGGCAGCAGCAGCACGTGCAGTGAGAGAGGGGCCACTGACTTAGAGAGAGAGGCAGGGAGATGGTGTGCAACTGTGGGAAGGGGCATTGACCTGGCTAGGGAAGCGTGACCAGAAAGTGCCATCCTAGCGGTGAGTGGAACATCCCATCACACACCACATTCCACTAAGGTGCAAGAGCCTGTCTCTTATTTCACTCTCTTTGTTCTTAAAAATGACTACATCATTTCTGCTCAAACTTTCCAGGAAAACACACTCCTAGGCTGGGAATAAATTTGTTAAATTTCAGCCTGAAAGGTAAAAGCTTGCCAAAGTTATAAGCATCTGAAAATTACATTCTATAATGATAACATATGTGGAACTTTAACTATGAGCATCACTATGCACTCCACTTGTTTTATGTATGACTTTACTCTTCCAGAATTTTAATTGAGTATAAACGCTGGTCTGTGTTTTCATAATACTGGGCCAGATTCACTGGAACTTTTTGATTGCTTTGTGCTGCTCCATCATCATAAAGCAGCTGTAAATCCAATATAACCAGCAAGTTAAACTGGGTTTACAGCTGTTTTGTATGGTGGCCAGAGTGTACCAGTGAATCTGATACATTATATTCTTGTAATCATACTTTTTTATGTTGGCTGTCTGGGAATGGCCACCATAATTGTAGCTGTAGTTTGTTAAAACCAGAATGAAATAATAGACATTTGCGAAAGAATTTAGACAAGGCAATTAGTGAATAGGAAAGGAAGAGCTAAATTCAGCCAATTAGTTCTGTGTTACAAATAATTTGACCAGCTCTAGTGATGACTGGCTAATGTTTGCTTTAAAATATCTCTGATCAGAAGATAATCTTCAATTCCCCAGCAAGCTGATTGGTTGACGAAACCCCTGTTGGATTCTGATGGCAAGTAGAATGTAATACAGCTGAAGCACTACAAAAAGAACACAACAAACAGATGTACCAACTTTTTCAGGGCACACTCCAATTCATTCTTTTCATTATCGGCTTCTTGGAGCTGGGAGAAAACTCTGACCAGGAACTCTTCAAAATTGGAAAGTAAACGAGGTTCATCTTTTCTCAGCTGCGACCAAAGTTGTCTTATATTGCTCTCGCTGAGGGATGAAAAGAAAAGAGAATAAAGCATTTGTTAGGAGATAAGATTTTTCAGGCTGGAGTAAATTTTTGCAGCAGCCTAGTAACACAAAGAAAATTTCAGCAGCTCATTGGTCAGAACATGAGGCTTGTCATCCGTGTGGGCTATATATACAGGTCCTAATTGTGACTGGCCCTTATGCGGGCACCCAGGATGGGATGGTTGGAGGCAGATGCAGAAGGATTCTTCCCATTACTTGTCTTGGCAAAGGGGATCATTGCAATTTCCATCCCTGTGCATGGGGGAGCTCCATGCACCCCAGGGCACATCTCATCCTCCAGGGGGCAGGAAATAGAGAAGGTGGGGGCCATAAGTCTTTATTCTCTGCATAGGCCCACAGAGCAAACTGGGGTACTTAGAGGAGTGGACTTCACCACCCGTGTATTCCCCAGTTCACCAGGAAGCTTGGGAGGCGGCGGGGAGGAGTGGGGAGGATTGTGTCATCTATCTATCTGCCCCTTTCCCCCATCACTACTAGTCTCTGAGCACCATATACGTAAATAAACAAAATGCCACACTTAAAGTATGGACTCTCAAAACATGTGACTTCTTTAATGAACACACAGAACTATATTCAGTTCTCTTCAGTCATAACAATACCTGTCAAGAATGTGGGGTAGGGTAGATATTAAAATCCTGTTTTCCATGCACTGCCCTTTTAGTGCAAGAAGATTCTGTCTGCCCATTGTGGAATAGTGTGTATGAGCTATTTCCAGATGTCTGTTACAGAGTAACACACTTTGCACTATCTAGGCCTGATACTCAGCTGCCTGGTACCTGCTGTATTTATTTACACCTTCATAAAGGGAATATAAATGGGGGTAAAACACCACCACTGTGATTTGGTAGCATTTTACACCCACTTTTCATAGTGCAGGGCAGTGGAGCATCAAGCCTTCTCCCTCACACTTTCTTGGAGAGTTGCATTTATTCCTTCTTTGTTCTCTGCTTACCTTATTCTGAAATAAAAGTCATGCAGATGGGAATTGCGTGTTTTGCTTATTAGGCTTAATTTCCAAAGCTATCTATGTATCTAAAGAAGCACATAGGCATCTAATCTGACAATTTAAATGGATTAGGCAAACTGTAAAGGCAACAAGGAAGAGAGACAGTACAGAATATCTACCTATAGGGGATTACATTGGAAAGGAATAACAAGCAACTAACAGTTACACATGAAAAACTACTAGGGTACAGTGTATTGTATTTATAATTAAAAGACACATTTGTATCCAGGGGATAATTTGGAGACTTTTGTGGGCTGAGTTAGTTCAAACTCAAGAAACGGGAGCCAGCCCATAAAAAGTATTGGATCCCTACTGAAAACCTGTACTAAAATGCCCAGGGATCAAAATTGAGCTTACATGTCAATATGGACCATGGCTCATTTTAAACATCCTCCTGAGATCAGAACACCGAGCCAGATTACAATTCTGAATGAGTCGTGAAGAACATTCACTTCTACATCCAGCCAACGTTTGTAAGCAGAATCACACAAACACACACCTAGGGCCTGATCCTGTGAGGGGCTGAGCATCTTCAGCTACAGTGGGGGTTGAGTGCATTTAGCACCTTAAGAGAGATGTTCACCCTCTGACAGAATCAGGCCCCTGAAGTCCTGAAGCTCAGCTTGAACTCAAGATATTCACTGAAGAAACATATAATCCTACCAATTTAGTCTGGAGAGCTAAAATAGGACTTTGCCATAAGGTTCCCTATATTATCCAGTCCAAAATAGCAAATTATTATGCCAACATTGTTTCCTTTAATCTCTGATAAAGACAGATTTCATTTATATTCAGTGATATACTTAGTCCACCTGAAGAACATATGGAGTCAAATTAGACCTAATTATCTTAGGCCAATTCCCATTAATCCCTTTCCCCACTCAATTAGAAATCTCTTCCCCTAATTTAGAACAAACCAAAGACATTGGGCCAGATTCTGATCTCAGATGGACTAGTGTAAATCAGAAGTAACTTCACTGAAGTCAATCGAGTTACCCAAATAACTCAGCTATGCACTTGCCCCATTAATTTTGGGCATCCTACTCTGAAAGTTTGGCTTCTGACCAATTTTTCATATCACTTATTAAGTGCAGGTAAGTAGCATTGTAAGAATCTGGAATCTCTCCTGTGCAGCCTCACATCATAGGATTTGCCATACCAGATCAGATCTTTTTTCCATCTAGTCTGGGATTCTCTTTCTATCTGAGGACAACACCTGGTGCTTCAAAGGAAAGTGAAAAACCTGCAGGGCAAATGGGAAGAAAATATCTCCTGCCCCTGTAAATTATCCTCGTATTCCATGAAGTATGGAATTAGATTATTTATCTGTGATGCTGCTTATATGACCACTATTACTATAGCATCTGAACACCTCACAAACATTGACGATATTGATCCTCACGACACCGCTTTGAAGGGGGGAAGTCTGATTATTCCCTGAAGGCACTGAAAGCCTGAGGGCTGGAGGCACAAGACTCTTAGGCCTGGTGATGCTGAGCATTGCCATGCCTAACGTCTAGGTGCCGAGAAAATCACTGAGATTCACAAAGCCTCAGTTAGGTGCCTTGGTTCCCTATACAATGAATGGGGAGAGATAGACACCTCAGAATGGGATTCACTGAAGTCAGCATAGAATCATAGAATATCAGGATTGGAAGGGACCTCAGGAGGTCATCTAGTCCAACCCCCTGCTCAAAGCAAGACCAACCCCAACTAAATCATCCCAGCCAGGGCTTTGCCAAGCCGGGCCTTAAAAACCTCTAAGGAAGGAGATTCCACCACCTCCCTAGTTAACCCATTCCAGTGCTTCACTACCCTCCTAGTGAAATAGTGTTTCCTGATATCCAACCTAGACCTTCTCCACTTCAACTTGAGACCATTGCTCCTTGTTCTGTCATCTGCCACCACTGAGAACAGACTAGCTCCATCCTCTTTGGAACCCCCCTTTGGGTAGTTGAAAGCAGCTATCAAATCCCCCCTCACTCTTCTTTTCTGCAGACTAAATAACCCCAGTTCCCTCAGCCTCTCCTCATAAGTCATGTGCCCCAGCCCCCTGATCATTTTCGTTGCCCTCTGCTGGACTCTCTCCAATTTGTCCATATCCTTTCTGTAGTGGAGGGGTGGGTCCCAAACTGGATGCAATATTCCAGATGTGACCTCACGATTGCCAAATAGAGGGGAATAATCACTTCCCTCGATCTGCTGGCAATGCTCCTACTAATGTATGGTTGGTGGCTCCAAGCCTAAAATAGCTAATGGCAGACGGCAAGCTGAGGGGTGTGTGCTAAGCCCTTCTTAGCTAAGCCCTGCTTATCAAATTGATAAACTAAACTGTAATAAGTCACTGGGACTAGATGGTATTCACCCAAGAGTTCTGAAGGAACTGAAATGTGAAATTGCAGAACTACTAACTGTGGCTTGTAACTTATCATTTAAATCAGCTTCTTTATCAGATGACTGGAGGATAGCTAATGTGATGGATGCCAATTTTTAAAAAGGGCTCCAGAGGTGATCCCGGCAATTACAGGCTGGTAAGCCTGACTTCATTACTGGGCAAACTGGTTGAAACTATAGTAAAGAACAAAATTGTCAGACACATAGATCAACATAATTTGTTGGGGAAGAGTCAACATGTTCTTTGTTTTCTACTAGAATTCTTTGAGGGGGTCAACAAGCATTTGGAGAAGGGGGATCCAGTGGATATAGTGTACTTAGATTTTCAGAAAGCCTTTGACAAGGTCCCTCAACAAAGGCTCTTAAGCAAAGTAAGCTCTCATGAGATAAGAGGGAAGGTCCTCTCATGGATCAATAACTGATTAAAAGATAGGAAACAAAGGGTAGGCATAAATGGGCAGTTTTCAGAATGGAGGGAGGTAAATAGTGGTGTCCGTCCCAGAGGTCTGTAGTGGGACTAGTACTGTTCAACATATTCATAAATGATCTTGGAAAACAGGGTAAACAGTGAGATGGCAAAATTTGCAGCTGATTCCCTGCTATCTGAGGAGGAGAATGGATCTGAAGAGAGACCTGCCACTTCTCAGATGAGTGCTCCAACCATTAGGCTATGAGTTCTCCCTTGGGCTCTCCTGTTGAAGCTGCTCCACTGTGGGTAAATGATCAGACTCATTGGCCCAGAAGAGAGAGCGCGAGCAGGCATGAGAATGAATCGGTAGCCCAGTGGTTAGAGCATTCACCTGAGAGGTGGAAGATCCAGCGCCCCTGCTTCAGTGACACTTTTAAATTGTTTATATACAGTGGAACAACTTCATCTGGAGAGACTGAGCAAGGTCTACATCAGAATACCCTACAGTCAGTGGTTACGACACTCATGTGACCTAAGAAGTAGCAGATTCTAGTGCAAATCCCTGCCCCTTCAGGTGGAGGGGGGACTTGAACCCGTATTCTCCCACATCCCAGTTGAGTACGCTAACCACTGGCCTAAAAGTCATGAGGGAGGACCTCCCCCACCTGCCCCCCTATTCCAGCCATTTTGTGTAAGCCCACCTATAGGGGCCCATTCCAGTAGGCAAAGTCTGAGTGCACTTACCAGATCGGGTTGCACAGGCAAGTTAGACAGAGGAACACCTATCTTCCCCCTGTTCATGCATCACGCTGGGGCGTAGGCATCCAGACACACTGGCTGCAGTGTGCATGTGCATGTGCAGGAACACAGGCACAGATGAAACTTTTACTGAAAAACGTATGCAGTGAGTGAGTTTAGGTGCCTACAGTGTTTGGGGCAGCTGAGCAGGGGTTTTGTGAATCCCAGTGGGGCCTGATTCTGGGATGCAGGTGCCTAAAATGGTAGTTAGGCACCTATGTCCTTTTGTGACTCTAGCCTGAAGGGATTTGCCCAGGTCACACAGGACGTCTGTGGCAGAGCAAGGAATCCCAAGTTCCAGGCTCGTGTCCCAGGGGACCATCCTCGGTCATCCCTATTATCTTACCTTTCATAGCTACAAATGTTAACTGCGTTACAAGCGCTGGCTCCTATATCTTCTGACCCTCCTCGTTCCTAATCTTAGTTATTAGGTCTTCTCTAAATGCATGCGTCATTCAGAGCATCATTGGAATCCCTAGACTGTGATATAAAACCTCTTAGACTGTTTACACAAGGAAGGGTCAGAGCTTCCTTTTGTAATGGACACCACAGAAACTATACCTAATTAGTGGTTGCAGAAGATTTAGCATTAGGCTAGAGAAGAGATATGTTTTATTACTCCTGATGCAGGACCTGATCCAGCTCTGATCGCAATCCGTGGAGAGACTCCCACTGCTTCCAATGGGAGTTGGACAGGGGGCAAACTCATTTGAAGCCTTTTTCATTGAAACTCAATGAGACGTAAGCTCCGAAGTGCCAACTTGGGCTCCTAAGTCACTTAGGCACTGAAAATTTTAACCTTGGTCTTCTGCTTCACCAATTATGTTTGATCAGCTTAGTTCCAGGGTGGGACTGTTTCAAAATTGAAGCATTTCATTTTCAGAAATCTCCCATTTCAAAACCAACACATGTTTTATTTAAAAACAATTTTGCCAAAAATGAAACACTGGATCATTGCAAATCACAACAGGATAGAAGACACTTTCAGATTTGCCAGAATTCCTGTGAATTTCTTATTCTGTTTTTCTGACCTGCTCTACTTTGCATGCACATTCAAGGCTCCATCCTGGACAGTGCAGGTGTGGAGTGTTGCTTGTATAAATTCAAGGTAAAAAGTGATGAGAACGACAGGAAAAGCAGGGGAATCTGATCCTGCAGTAATGAAAGCCCTGCTGCACAGTTGCCAACCTACTCCTGCCTATGACAGGGAGTAGGTTTTAGAGAGGATAGCTAAGAACCTCTGTAGTATGAAGAGGATCACTTAAGGCCACATCCTGTGAGACTTGTCCATTCTCCACCCACACCCTGTCTCTTTTCTCCTGTGCTCATGCAAATCAGACCATGAGCATGCAGAGTGCTTTTGTTGCTCTTCACTGTAATGTAATTAATTACACATAGTCCTCAACCATACATGTGCACTTGCATAGCCTCCATTCCCACTTGAACTAGAATATAAGCTTGTTTACCACTTCTGCACACCAGGAAAGGACCAAGGCCCTGGAGGAGCAGAGACAACCACATTGTAAATTAATATTCTGAACTCTACCTTAGAATCAAGTACCTAGGGACTGAGCCAAAGCCCACTGAACTCCCATTACTGACGTTAGTGGACTTTGGCTCACACACCACGCTGCTCACTGATCACAACTAAGGAGGCTCTTGCATGTCCAGCATATTTTTTCAGACAATTTTCTGCACATCATTCCATTAGCTTATAAATATATCTTGTAGATGACCTTGTCTCAATTATATGCAGCACAGAACCAGGCAGCATGAAACACAAAACACTTCACAATTATTCTAACTCTTAAAAAATGAAAGTAAGGTACAGCCTATTGGTGTAAGCTCAGATAGGAAACTTGTCTTTCAGTGAATAAATGAGTCAAAGCTAAGATCCGTTTTCTTGTCCTCCGCACAATTTCTTTACATCTTGTTCCCCCCACAGATGGGAGCTTTCAGAGAATCACTAAACTCACAGTTTGTGTTTGAAATGCCCCACAGGAACATGTAAGACCTGATGGCTATTTTAACAATCAGCATGTTCCTGAAATAGTCTTACTGTACAGTATGTATCTGGTGTTTACTGGATAATGCCTGGTAAGCTTCAGTGGAGGAAAAACAAACATACTCATTCAAAATAGTTTGGAGATATCAGATTTAAATGATATTAGATGTAAAAAGGAAAAAAAATCACAGCATTTAGCATTCTGACAACTTGGTATTTTACATCAGTAATTTTATTTCATTGACAAATGTCACACAAACATAGATTGAAAGCCCCTTTGTTCTGTGTTTATACAACACCTAGCGCATTGGGGTCCTGGTCCCTCACTGGAGCTCGTAGGTGCTACCGCAATGTAAATTATTAATGATTAATCATTAATAACTACACCGTTATGAAAGAGAACTAGTGATTTTTGTTATTCTTAGTTGATACAAAGGCAATGTAAGCATAGTCTTTGCCAAAGGAATGCTCTCTAAGGATTCTTTATTTGCAAATAATGTCATTTTTGGATACACAGATAGCATATCAATATTACCGTACATATTTTCAGAACATGTGCCACATTAGTGCTTCATTTGTGTTGCTCTCAAATGCATGTGACTATGAGAGTTTAACTGTGTTATCCTCATGGGGCACAAATGTGTGGCGCTCAGGGGTTTTTTTATTTCATTACTCGCAGCAACCAAGGAAATGGATCTGAGATCGCTACATCACAAGGGGCCCTAGTTCTGATCTCTTACTGCAGTTAGTCAAAAGCATCTCCACTGAAGTCAATGGTGACACACCAGTGCACAGTGGGTGTAAATGAAAGGAGAATCAAGCCCAGGGTTTTCTAGCAAATGTAGAGCTAAATCATAAAAGATCATGAATCGTACATTGTTGATATTGCAGCTGGTATGACTTACTCTTCTAAGATCTTGTTTGTTCCAAGCCGGTCCATCAGATCTGAGAACTGCCGGTCCTCATCTTCATCATCATCAGCTTTAGCATAGCTGTCTTCCCACTTAGACTGATAGACATTTTCATTGTCAGACTCGTGCATTTCATTCATAGAGGCCATCTGCCCAAACAAAAACTGACCTAAAATTTAAAGATGTACATCTTTTTAAAAATCTGTTTATAGAGTAATTAGAAGTCATTAAAAGAAACAGTGACATTTATTAGCAGTCTCTCCCAGGCTGTGTCTACACTCAGAGCTGGGGGTGTGATTTCCAGCTCACGTAGATGTACTCACACTAGCTGTCATTGAACTAGAGCTCTAAAAATAGTTGTGTAGCTGGAGTAGCATGGGTAGTGGCCTTTTGTGCAGGATTCACTGCACGCATCAGGACTACACTTCAGGTTCCTTAAGGAACCATGTCTCCTTACCTGTCTATGAAGTACTGAACATGGATGGAGGTATACACAGATTTGCATTCCAAAACTCACTTAATCCTGTCGTGAACTCCTCTGGCGTAAGTGAACCGTTGCCATCTGCATCCAGAGTATCAAACACTTTCTCCAGCTCCTCCAGGCTAAGAGGTAGCTGACCATGAAGTCTCTGAAATGACAAATCATGCCTCCATTACACTATTTATTATAAAAGTGGTTAGTGGAAGAGAAGAATCTGAAGAGCAAGATAAGAACAACAGTAATTTAGAATGACAGAACTCTAAATTTCCTGCAAAATGCAAATTCCTCTCGCCCCCCAAAAATATCCATTTTGAAAAGTTTGAAATGAAACATTTCAAATTTTTCTAAATAAAACATATCAGTGTTGACAATTTTATTCATTTTAGGTTACTATTTTATTTTTAATTTATTTTACTTCTCTATTTTATTATTTTAAATGTTATTTTTATTTCATTATTGAAATATATATATATGTATATTTGTACATTATTTTCTAGGGTAATTTAATTTTTAGTATAGCAAACATAAAAGTATTTTATATTACAGTTTCTTTTTCAAGGCATCTCCTCTTTTATTTGGAAACTGAGCAAATTTGATATGGATTCAGTGAGACAAAAATGGATCAGAACAATATTAAAGTCATTTAAAAATTAGAGTGACATAATGGGATATAAATTAATCTTTAGCATATGTTACTGCAAGAGTCTGATATCACAGACGTAGAGTTGTGTTCAGGGATGAATAGATTATGGGAGTCAAAAAGAAGTTGTAATTAAAGAACTAGCAAGAGCAAGACTCCCCTCATCTGAATGGGTGTGGTGGTTACCTAGCTTTAAAGGATAAACAGGGCTAGATCTGCTCTGTATATTTGGATAGGATATTGAGAAGATTCCCATTGATTTCAGTGGAGCAATATAAGGCTCTGGTTTGTCCTCAGCCCACAAAGGACCCACTGCCATACCCAGAGTCTCTTTCCAGGCAGTTTTATTTTACAAACATAGGTTTAAAAACCCCAACGCATGAAAACAGTTCCTCAGCCCACCCTAGGCTAGAGCTCCCAGGGGATTTTCCCTTTGCCTCTCTCAGTCCTTCCTGCTTCAGAGCCAACTGCAGGATTCTCCTATGCTCTTTTAACTGAGCACCAGCTCTCTGGACTTTCTCCCTGGAGACCCTTTTCCCCCAGATCCATGTGTTGCCCCTCCCTCCTAACTGGCCAAGGTGGGAGCACTTGTTCTACCACAGGGGAACTGGACCTGCCTCATTTAAAGGGGCCAGCCACTCTGTGACAAGCAGGCTCCAAGTATCTGAGCTAACACTAATGGAGAAACTGTAACTTTCCAATTTGCTGGCCTCTGTATTTTTTTAATTCTCAACTTTTGACCTCAGATAGAATATAAAGTCAAAGGAAGAGATTTGATCCCACCTCAATTTTACACCAGTGAAACTGCATTGATTTCAGTGACATTACTCCTGATTTACATAATGGTTTAGTGAGAGGAGACTCAGGCCCAGTGGTTTCAAAAAGGATGTTTTTGTAATTTCATCTTTAATCCGCTTAGCTAGAAACAAAAATAAGCATAATGCAATGCCATTTCAAGTGGTTTCATGTCACTGAGTCCCAGTGCCCTTTATATCTATTTTTAAATGAATTGGAAATTTACTCATATATAAAGCTCATCACGCATGCTAAACAGCTCCTGAAAGAGCTGTTTCATGTTGTGAAATCAAAGACAAAATTACGTTCTCTTTGCAACTCAAACAAGTTCTCTGTCACCCTTCTCAGAAGCTCGCAGCAAATAGAGTTACATTTCCTCTGTAAGTGTTGAACTCAGATCTGAATGGGAATAAATATCTTTTACCCTCCTTGTAGCAACAGACATTAAAGTTCAAAAATATGTGAGGGTTCCCTTGTATTAAAAATTAAATCCTATTTTCTTTTTACCATTTTAATCCATATACATAAATAAAACAAAATGGTGATCCAGGAAGATGCCTAATGGTCCAAACATTCAAACATTTACTACCAGGAATAACACATTTACTACTGTGATTTCAATTACTTCAGTGGGACTACACAGTGTAGTAAGCACTACAACCAACAGTAAATGTTTACTCTAACATTTTTTTAAAACTGTGCAGCCAGTAAAACAAGTAATTTGAAAGAAAAGAAAAAAAATCCATAAACACACACAGCAGAAAACCTGCAACTGGCAATAACCTGAGCATTGATTTGTTTGTTTTTTCAGAATGGGTAATTCTCAATGTGTTGGGCACTTTTTACTATTACACTGAACAGCTTTGTATGTGACGGTATTAAATCCTCCAAAAAATTGTATTTAAGACATTTCCACTGTCACTACTTTGCTACTGCTCCTAAATTCTATTTAATCCATTAGCACTGAAGTAAAAAATTAATGAATACACCCAAGGAGTACTCTGCATGTAAAACATGAATAGCTGCAGAGTGGGTTGCTGTTGTTTTCCACAACATACCTGATAGAATATCCCTCTGAACATTTCCACAGCGTGGGCCTGATCCCGTTCTTGGTGGAGTCAATGGCATTTTGCCAATGACTTCAATAGGATCAGAATTAGGACCCTTAACTTTTAAAATTATTTCCACAAAACGTTGATTTAATAAGCACAATGTGAACATATCAAAATAACATAGAATATTCTTTTGTTTGCATAAGTGTATTTAGAAAAACGTTCTGACTGAGTTTTTGTACCATTTATTGGTTGGGGAAAGCAGAGTGAATGGCTTGGAATGGCATTTGTTGACAAAATCTGTAAGAGAAAATAGATGAACTAAACACATTTCTGATTCTGCTGTAAATCAGGAGTAACCCCAATGAAGTCAGTGGAGTTACACCAGGTTAAGTTAAACGTAAAATCAATTGCTTTGAGTTTTATAGATTTTACATTTGCTTTGAGCTTCCATTTTATGTGTTGGTTTGTATATGTTAAAACGATTGTATTGCATCATTTCACCAATTTTGCTTTACCTGCATATCATGTCGAGTGATGAAGCCTTTGCCCTCCACATCACAGATCTGAAAGAACCCCAACATGGCTAGTTGTTGCCCTGGGTCCTGTTCTGTCCTGCTCGACTCTGTATCTCCTAGTGGCCCAGGACTGGCACAGTCCCCTTTTATTCTGTCCGTTGTCACAGGTCTGGTCACAGAAGTATTTTGGGACGCTGCCATCCCATTTACTCCCAAACTCTGGTCCAAAACCTGTATGCCGAAGGTAAGAAAGAGAGCACATCAGAGCCTCTCAATGATGCTTTCCATCATCTCTTAGCAACGACCTCTTTAATTAGCCACTGAAGCCTAGGAGAAGAAAAAAGCTTTTTGAAAATGCCTACCATGATCTATTCCATTAATAGACTGCACTAGAGCACACGGAAAATGGGATGGTGAACAAGGAAGGGGAAAAGATCTATGACTGAAAGGAATCTCAACACAAAATCAGCCCGTTTAATGAGCAATGTAGACAACTAATTAATGTGAACAACAAGAAAACACAAAGTATGGGCAAATTTTTTTAAAAAAAGGAAAAGAACAATTTATAGTCACTACAAGTACTCACTTGGCATTCTTTCTGCTTAATTATCTACTTCCAAGACTCACAGTTTGTGTGCAGTCCCTTAAGCTTTTGGAATATGCAAAGTAATGAAGACTGATGGAAGTCGATGAACCAGTTTTTTTAAAGGAAATAAATGGAGCTGAGAGAGAACAAGAAAATTTACATATGGAATTTTGAAATATATATTTACAGCATGTGTTTTTGAATATTCACTGGAACAGTAAGACCAATTATACAGTCCATTTTCTTGGCATGTTTTGAGTTGATATTTTGAATAGTACCCAAACCCTTTTCCCAGCAGTGTTTGGAAAAGTACATCTTATACTATCCATAAGAAAATATTCTTAATCAAAAGTTTGGAGTTATATGGTTTTTATCTTAATTTATTCTGAGTGGTCTGATATAAACAATATTGGATTTTGTTTTTCTTTTTCTATCTAAACCAATTTCAATTATGCTACACACAGCATTCAGTGCAAAGAGAAGAGGATTTGCAAAAGACAATTTAAAAAAAAAACTTTATGCCTACGGCTCAGACATAGTTTGATTTCCTTCATGTGAAGTTTCTTTCCATATTTTGGTCTGTTAAAGAGAATAGGTCTGATCACACACTGGTATAAATCAGGAGTAACTTCGTTGAACTTAGTGCAATTACTCCAATGTAAAACTAGCATGAATGAGAGGGGCAACAGTCCCCTTCTTCTATTATAGTGAAATACAACAGTGGACTGTATTTGGGATTGAAACTGAAATCCAAGAAAAACTGCAGCTTGTCCATTCCACAGTGCCTGCCTCCCAAGGCTATGTCTACACTGATAATTGAATGACAAAACTTTTGTCTTTCAGAGGTGTTAACCCCCCTCTCCCTCTAAAGACAAAAGTTTTGCTGATGACAAGCACCAGTGTGAACAGCGCTTTGTTGGCAGCAAACGCCGGTCATTGGGGGTGGAGGTTTTTTGTCGGCAGGAGAACCAACAAACAGCAGCTACACAGTGTGACTTTTAGCAGCACTAAAGGCTGTGTAGTGTAGATATAGTCTTAGGCCTTGGCTACACTTGTGAGTTGCAGCGCTGTAAAGCCGCCCCCAGTGCTGTAACTCACTCCCCGTCCACACTGGCAAGGCATTTGCAGCGCTGTATCTCCTTGGTTGCAGCGCTGCATGTACTCCACCTCTCTGAGAGGAATAGCGAGTGCTGCGCTGCCACTCCAGCACTGCGGTGCCAGTGTGGCCGCCCAATGCGCTGTGAATGGCCTCCAGAATTATTCGGCAGTATCCCACAATGCCAGTTCTAGCCACTCTGGTCATCAGTTCAAACTCTACTGCCCTGGCCTCAGGTAACCAACCATGTGACCGACCCTTTACATTCCCCGGGAATTTTAAAAATCCCCTTCCTGTTTGCTCAGCCCGGCGTGGCATGGAGTGCTATCAGCGAATCTTTCCAGGTCACCATGCCTCCACGCGCCAAGCGAGCCCCAGCATGGAGCAATGGCGAGTTGCTGGACCTCATCAGTGTTTGGGGGGAGGAAGCTGTACAGTCCCAGCTGCGCTCCAGCAGTAGGAATTACGATACCTTCAGGAAGGTATCAAAGGACATGATGGAAAGGGGCCATGACCGGGACGTCCTGCAGTGGAGGATTA